CTGTGCGGGATCGTGGGGCTTTGCGGGACCCTGCTGGCCCTGGCAGCGGGTGAGCAGCGGGCCGGGGGCCGGGGCTCCTCCTACGCTCACCTCCCCACCCCACCCCACTGGGGGTCTCCCAGTGAAAACTAGGGTCTTTCCAAAGCCCAGTCCTGCTGCAGCAGAGGGTGGTGCGGGGCTGCAGGGCTCCAATGCCAGCAGGGCTCGGAGAACAAACCCACAGTGGCAGCCAGCCCCCAGCCTCCCGGTTACTTCTCCCTCCTCACCACCCTGGAGAAACTCACACACTTTTCTCTGTTGTTTCAATGCAGGAGGGTTCATGCATTCAACTGCTTCTTTTCTCTCCCTAAAGGGTCAGCACCTCCATTTCGCAAGGTGGACATCACCCTGGGCTGCTCCTACCTGGGAGAAGATGGAGGAAGTTTGTTGCATGTCTTTGGTGGCTCAAGCTCCGAGCATCCTGCTACCCTCGTGCTGAGGGGTGTCAGCGTCAGAGATGATGGGAACTTGGATGATGTAACTGACTACAAAGTGTCACAGGAAAATCCTGACTCCTCTTCTCCTGTTGTCTTTGAAGTCTCAGGTGAGTGGGAGAGCTGGGGTGGAGGAGCTGCCACCAGGGTTTTGGCCACTTATGTGCACCAGGCTTCTACAGAGTTTTTCTTTAACAGGGTTTAGACAGTTTGTGAATGACCAACTAAGCTTTCACACATGATTTCCTGAATTCAGCAATTGGGACTTTGAGAGGAACATCCTGGGCTGCATCCAGAGAAGTGTGGCAAGCAGGTTGAGAGACAGGATTCTCCCCTTCTAATCTGCTCTTGTGAGAACCCACCTGGAGCATTGTGTCCAGTTCTGGGGCCCTCAACTTAAGAAGGACATGGACCTACTGGAGCCAGTGCAGAGGAGGCCACGAGGATGATCCAAGGGCTGGAGCACCTCTCCTATGAGGACAGGCTGAGAGAGTTGGGGCTGTTCAGCCTGGAGAAGAGAAGGCTCCAGGGGGACCTTCTAGCGGCCTTCCAGTACCTGAAGGGGCCTACAGGAAGGCTGAGGAGGGACTTTTGACAAGGGCAGGGAGTGACAGAACAAGGGGTAATGGCTTTAAACTGGAAGAGGGTAAATTTAGATGACACATGAGGAAGAAATCGTTTCCTGTGAGGGTAGTCAGACTCTGGCCCAGGTTGGCCAGAGAAGCTGTGGCTGCCCCCTCCCTGGAAGTGTTGAAGGCCAGGTTGGATGAGGCGTTGAGCAACCTGGTCTAGTGGAAGGTGTCCCTGCTGATGGCAGGGGGGTTGGAACTAGATGAGCTTTAAGGTCCCTTCCAACCCAGACCATTCCATGATTCTATGTCAGTAAACCTTGTTGAGGCACCTCTGTCCTACTGGGGCTGTCCTAGATGGCCTGTTTCTTGGGAAATACTTTGTCAAATACAGGACTCGGGAATTATTCCACTATACAGTATTATTGCACCCGAAAAGAACATTCACATCTTTAGGCATGCAGGTGTGTTTTGCTAGCAGGAAGCATCATGGTAAGTGGGCATGAAGCAGAGCTGTCCTGCTCGGAAGGCCAGCTGTGTCCAACTTGGCTCTCCTGACTTCATGCACGGATACCAACCCGCAGTCCAGCCTCTGTTCCCCTTGCTTTGCACATAAGTTTGGAAACACAGTCAAGCAAAGGTCTGAGACTGTACTTTGCTGTGGTCTTGTTCACAAAGCCTCTTGAGGCTGAGGGAGACCTTATCGCTCTCTACAACTACCTGAAGGGAGGGTGTAATGAGGTGGTTCTTGGTCTCTTCTCCCAGTTAACAAGTGACAGGACAAGAAGAAATGACCTCCAGTTGTGCCAGGGGAGGTTTAGGTTGAATATGAGGAAAAATTTATTCACCAAAAGGGTTGTTAAGCATTGGAACAGGCTGCCCAGGGAAGTGGTGGAGTCACCATCCCTGGAGATGTTAAAAAAACATGTAGATGAGGTGCTTAGGGACATGGTTTAGTGGTGGCTTTGGCAGTGTTGAGTTAATGATTGGACTCGATGATCTTAAAGATCTTTTCCAACTAAAACAATTCTATGCTTCTATTCACTGCCTACAGTGCTTATCTGCAAGCATTTGCTTCAGTACATGGTTATTCATGGCTCTAAGACATTTTCAGAGAGAGAGATGAAGGTCCAGCAGGATCCATTAGCATAGGTCCAAGCTCTCTTTTAAGTGGAGTGAATGGACTGGGCGTGGGTGAGTTCGAGCACACTACAGCCAGGCTACAGTCAGGCATTGCAGACACAGAGTTAGTCTCCAGTGATGCCCATGGAAAGCGTGTAGGTCACTAGGAAGCTTACACCTACACTCAAGCCCATGCTGTGATTGAAGGCACGGAAACAGTGTGCAACCAGTATGTCCAGACCAGCCACTCCTGCCTTCTTGCCACCCTTTCTTCCCTTACCTGGGCTGCTTCAGTGTCCCCTTTCTTTCTGGATTCAGGCCTAAACTGAAGAAACATCACAAGTCTTTACTGGGCATTTCACACACCCAGCTCAGTGGGTGTGCACTGGGCTTACACACACAGAGCACATACCCAGCTAAAGAGAATCTGTTCTGTTTATTCTCCTTTCCTAACGGCTCCCTTTGCCCACAGGGAACTCTGTGCAGTCTTGCCAGGTAAAATACAGCCAACAGGCTGAGGGATGTAAGACGGGCATGACAAGCCTCTCATAGTCTTTGCATCTATTAAGGCTAGACTGGCATTTCTGGGCTCTGTCTGACCCCTGAAGCACATGATGCTTCTCCAAAATAATGTTACATCTTGCACTTTCTTTTCCCTTTTGGATACTAATGGATAAACCTTTTCCTCTATCCCCACAGCCCAGTCAGTGTCCATCCCACACGCAGACTCCCTGCTGCACGCTGACTGTGATGGGGAGGAGGTGAACTGTGAGATCTCTCCGTACAGCTTCCAGGGGGCTGGCAAGGGGCCCTGCCGTCCCTCCTGGTTCATGGCCACCATCCAGCTCTCCAGCGGGATCAGTATCGCCCTGGTGCTCAAAGGCCCCCACTGCTGCAGCCAGGAGGAGGAGGAGGAGCACCACACAACACTGCACCCAAAGCTGAGAATTCCTATGAGCAAGGAGGGGACAGTGCTGACCACAGGTGACCAGGTGGCCAGGGGTGTCCCCACAGCACCAAGAGACATGAGGGGAGGGGAGCCTGCCTCCCCAAGAGTCCCATGCCCCACCTCTCACCAGGACCTGAGGGCTGCCGGGAGTTGAAAGGGAAAGGAAAAGTTGAAAGGAAAAAGGGGTCATGGATACTGCCCCTCCCATGCCCCTGTCAAGGTTTCCCATGCCCCAGCCCCTGAGGATGACAAGCCTCTTCTCTCCCCCTCTACTCCACTCTGGTGAGACCC